GTTGTATCTTGTTAACATGTATATTTCATACAATGCACTCGGGTGTATCGATGGTCACAAGTGGATTCGCAGAAGTTTCTCCACGGGTACATTGCACGGAGCAAAATAATAAAATTATAAAATAAAAAAAAAAAAAACTTAGCTGACCGGGAGGACCGTACCAAGAATCTTGCGATTATCAGGGCTGCGTTTTGGCCACTCATCTATTTTAATGCCCGGGTAACGAAAAGGTTTAGCGCTCATAGTAGGTACGGTAGCTAATTCGTCTGGTGTATCCGAAATTAAAGCACCGATAACCCGGCATGACACTTAATTCTGACTTATGCCCGAAAATCGTAAACGGGCGATTTAAATGTGCAGTGATCCGAACTGTCAAAATCATAGGATTTTTTTATCTAGATATAAATAATTTGTCCAGAATAGATCAGACACGAAACAATTCATAACTTTTGCATGCGAATTCATGGCTTAGCTAAAGTGAACACGGAGCCAAATGTCAGTAGTGTGCTTTGGTAAGAAATTCTTATTGTTTTTGCTATGGTCATACATGTCGGTTTGTCGGTGATTAAAGCATTGCCGTGAATTATACAAGCTGGCCTTTCGGAAAATTCATAAACATTACCAAGTTATGAAGCTGAGAGCTCAGAGATCGGTTCTAAAACGATATGAATAGTAGAGTATGGAGTTCCAGGGCAACATTAAAAGTGGTCATGACCAGTGATGGAAAAGTTCGCAAATCTCACTAAAACTCGTGAATTTTCCCTTCGTGAACTTGAAATACCGTGAACTTTCCCTATTTTTTCCTATACTATTTTTCAGAATTAAGAAGCTATGAGGTGTTATAATGAAAATTAGTATTTGTAAGATGCAACAAGAGGATGTAAAGTTTGTGTATGACACATGAAGACTGTCAATTTCGCTTTCAGAGGGTCACAATTAGCGATTTTATTATCGCTGAGTGCTCACTCATCGCGAGGGTTCAGTGATCATAAAAGAAGTTTTTGTGAGCCATACACAAATTTACATCCTCTTCTTGCATCTTACAAATATAAATTATCATTATATTATCTCACATCCATCTGCATATACCAAGCGTAACTAGGCAAAGCTTTTATATTGTTCCCATTTCATCATCCGGCATCTATATTGATCTGGTTTAAGACAAAAATGCAGCAGTAAGAAGAAGGCAAAATTATGTTAAAGCATATTTAACATTTTCGTGTTTCTTCCTAAGAAATCGAGTTATCCCACCGAATGTTTTCACAAAGGTTTCGAATAACTGTAGGGTGCAGTGCTGCAAAATCTCGACTATACATGGTGATATTCAAAATTTTGCTTTGGTCACTCATTTGAGCTAACAGTCATTGTCAAGGCAAACCATGTCAATTGTCAGTGACAATGCTGTCAGTGACGAACATGTGCAGATTCTTTAATTAACTAAACTTGTAACGTAGCAAAAAACTTACATGGAGCCGTTAAAGTGAACAAGTATCTACCCAACAAACAATTTTAGCTGCAGATAAGCTTATACAGGCAAAAAATAGCTGTATAAGCCAATTTTTGGCTGTATAAGCTAATCTGCAGCTAAAATTGTTAGTTGGGTACTTCCTGAACTGCTTGGATAACAATAATGTGACACATAATGGACGAAATTAAACGTTTTGGTGCCAGGTGAATCTTTGCCATTGACGAGAAAATGAATGAGATTTTGGCAAAGGTTTTTTGGAGGATCCATTTTATCAAAGACTACGTGATAAACAGTTTTGTCAATATCGTGCGAAAGTTTGTTAATGACATGGACAAATCTCAGCACTGGTAGGGTGAACAACAGTACTGAAAATGGTCACCATCACTGCATCGTCTTCAAACGACGTGCGACAAAACAAAAACTGTTTCACAAGTGCTTCATTCACGGCTGATAAACAGTCTGTCAAGACAGGAAATATTATGTCACTACGGTTTTCGTTTTGGACACTCATCCTGCATTTTTATAATACTGGTTTGTTCCAACAAACCAACAAACAAATCAACATGATCAATGCAATAGGTCCTAACTACATTGATTGATTCTCTCGATGATTTTTTTTGGTTTCCGCAATTATCTAGCCACTAATTCGACAAACACAGCCATAGGCGTTTTTGTAGCCAAGTTAGTAACGAAAGAAAAAATCGATGAAGAGAATCGATCAATTTAGATAAACCCTTATGCATTGTTTGGGTTGAAATGTTGTTACTGAAACCAGAAACAATACAACATAGAATTGAAAAAGCGAGTACAAACGCTTTCCGATAAGTAATTGATCTGAATGGTTTTCCTAAAACCATCTTGATATTTCAACTATTATTTTTAGGTGAAATGTATTTTAATTGGAGATCAAAATTGAACTCTCTTGGTTGCCAGGTGCTGAAGTCGTCTCCCTGGTACTCGATTTCCATCGGCTATTAATCACCATTTTTTTTCCTTGATTTGTTTTTCGTCGATCTTGTTTTCCCATACTTAGTACCAATGCTACTGACGCCAGGGAGGCAGCTCTCACACCTGGACCCTACCTATCGACCCATCAACTCATGGACCGGGAACCAACGGCTTTACTCCCCAGGCATGATCAGAGATTTTATACCTCAGAAAATCCCGACGGCACCGACTGGTATCAAACCCAGGTCCTTTGGGATGAGAGACAATCACGCTTACCACTACACCACCGGCGTCGCTATTAATCACCAATTTGCAATCAGAACACTTTCGTTATTAGGATTAGAATTATATAGAAGGATTGTAATAATGCTAATAATAATAAAGAGTTCCCACATGAACAAAGTCCAAACGAAGTATTAAATAACATGAAAGTATTCGCCAGGTATGTTGCTATGACGTAGTGAACGATGGTTTTTAGATCCTGGAAAGACGAGTTATTTTTGGACTTTTGTAAGGAATACAACATATGGTTATTATTTAAAATTATCATTTTGTTTTATCAGGATTATTAGATTATTTTTTATTAGAATATTCCTCGTTGAGTTCATACTGACCAAGGATACCAGCTTGTGCTTCTCATCGACTGCGATTATTGTTCAGAGTTTGCTTGTTACTCTCGAAATGTGAATTTTCAATCTGGACATTTTGATATTCACAGCATTTGCGTGATCCAATAAGCTTTTTTTACCATCCTTCGTCCAGAAGCGTATCATCAAATTCCCAGAATGGAAATATACAGAACCACTGTCGGGGTCAATGACACAGTAATATTTATAGCCGGTGATCCTGCAGTACTCCTGCGCTATGGCCAAAAAAATTTTTAGCCTCTTCCTTTGATGAAGAAAGATACAAGGGAACGGCGCCGGTGGTGTAGTGGTAAGCGTGATAACCTCTCATCCCAGTAGGCCTGGGTTCAATCCCAGTCGGCGCCGCCGGGATGTTCTGAGGCATAACATCTCTGATCACGCCTTCCTTCGGATGGGAAGTAAAGCCGTTGGTCCCCGGTTCATGAGTTGATGGGTCGATAGGTAGGGTCCAGGTGTGGGAGCTGCCTTCCTGGCACGTCGGTAGCATTGGTGCTCAGCACGGAAAACAAGATCGGCGGAAAAAACAAACCAAAAGGAAAAAAAAAGATACATGGAATCACTGTTTTCGTCGTTAGATATCCAGTAAGTAAAACAAACGACAACCACAACTATGAGGAAAAACATGTTGCTCATTGAAGAAAAATAACAGTCTGCGACAATCTCAACGTGTAACAAACAATTTACAGGACTACTTTATCTATGAAAGCGTATTGACGAAGCAAAGCAACGTACGTTGCGTCGCATCAATTTTCGTCAATTAGAATCGGGAAATGTTGCACGTTAGTTGTCATATGCCATTGAAATATTTCAACACTGGACTACAAACTAGGCAATTAGAGGGTGCATTCGATAAAAATGACACACGCATAAAGCTGTAACCTTTTAACTATTATACCAAATGACTTGAAATTGGACAGAGATCTTGGAAAATTCGAAAAGCCCCAGAGTGTTGAAGATTGTTTCAGAGATCATTCTGAGTTCAATCTATCACTTTTCAAAATTCAGCCTAATGACCAGATCGGTCTAATCATTTTAGGCCTAGTGGCCTTCGGTCTACTGGCCCCATATACACCCAAAAATACAAACAATTTGATATGCAAGAGAGCAAGGCAGGCCAAACCATAGGAACCCTTAGCTTAATCCCAGCTACATCACTGTTGCTTGCTGTATGGCTCTAAATATCTGGGAGTAGAAAGAGCGAGATTCCCCAACAATAGGTGCAGATTATGTACACACCCGTGACCATGAGGTGGAAAGAGCGGGAATCAAATTTCATTATCAGCTGAGGTTTTTGGAGCGATTAAAAGTGAAATCATTCCACGGTCGATGGAGGGAACTTCGTTTGTTTGGCTCGGAACATTCACGGGACAGCGAAAGTGACAATGACATATTTATAGCGATTTGTGAGGTGGTTGGTTGATGTCCCTAATTTCACGGAGGGAAAATAAACGATAGTCGTCCAACTGGCGCTTGTCTGGTATGATGATGTTTTTGGTAGAACCAGGAATGTCAAACGGTTCAAGGGTTCAATAGGAATCGGGGGGTGAAAATACACAACTCTCTATCGCGTTCGCAAGGTGAATCGGTTTTTATTTATATCCGTTTTATTTATGCTTTCATCGATCAAACAGTGAACCATGGGGTGGAATCCACCCATTTTCGATTCTAGGTTTTCCTGCTGCTGATTTCTTTGACCGTATGCAGGAAAAGAGTGGCGGGGATAGTTGGTTGGGTAATTCCAAGATTGCAGTGTTAAAAAACATTCTTGTGCCTTTTCCTTTCGCCCGGGTATTCTTAAAATTTAAATAGCAACTATGGATAATTTAGCAATCGGAAACTTGAGGCTTTCGTGCCGACTGCTGATAAACAACGGTGAAATTACGGTGCTGGATTCTAAAACTATAGTTACGGAAAGCGGGTTGCGATTTATTACATACCGAGTCGCGTTTCACCGCACCCTTTTCGATGCCCTCGGAGTGGGTTCCGCTTTTCCCTCGGGAGAAAGAGGTCTGCGCTTCCGGCCTGGAGCCATACCGGCCGAAGGAGGCAATCGATTTCGTGACGTTCGGCGGTGGCGGAGGCGGTGGGAGCGAAACATCAGCACCGCCATCGGGTGACGCACGGCGTCGACGACTCGCCCTTGCCGTCGGTAGGATTGGGCTATAGCTGCTCAGTTCTTCGTCGGCGGAGACGGTTGGGGTTGCTTCAGCGTTTCCGTGAATTAGCGTAGAGTTTTGTGGCGCCATTTTGCGGCGCATCTACGGGGGAGAAGGGAAAGAATATTTAATCAATAGAATGTTGCAGTCACGGAGAAAGTATTTTTTCCTTTCTCCAGTAGCTTTACGTAAAGAAAGAACAATTGTAAGGACGTTAGCGTTGTCGGCGTGATTTATAGTGTCTGTTATTGCTTGTCAGAAATTGAGGGACGATTGAGGTGAGTTGCGATTGGATTTACTTCAATGCGGATTTTTTGTTTTATAGAAAACGTTGCCTTAGCAATTAGTTTTCACAAACTAGGTTGGATCATACTTTTAAATATTTTGAAATGTTTCTTGTCATGTAGGTATGAATGATATGTGTAAAATGGCTTATGAATAAGTTGTTGAATTGATAGATTTTGCGCAATGTTTGCTACTTTCGATATTACTTAACATATATCTTCAGTTGATTACGTTCTAACGGACGCACCATGGTATGACCTTGATTAATTGCCTTCAAGTGATTGGAAAACACCACTCATCGATTAATCCTCATCGGTTGTACCTATGCTTTCATATGCCACTTAATGCGTATACATTTTCACACGTGTACCACACCGACACCTACACCTACTGATCCATAGATTAACTAGAGCGGAAAATGCCTCTTTTTGCTTCACTTCCACTTTGGTGAGTCATAGTCACTTCCACCATTTGTTAACCACCACTTGGACCAGGGTTTTTAGTAGTACAGTATGCCGCCCGGAATGGTAAACTTTCATTCATTATCAATTCACAACCTCCCAGCACCCAACAAATACATAAGTGGAAGTGGAAATCCCCTCAAAAGACCTCTAACGAACACCGAATGTATGTAGTAAATAAATCAATTGCACTACAACACTCATTGAACAAAAGATAAGCAACATAATTACGCGGCTACTAGCTGATTGAAGCGCTACTCTCGCTTCTCCTAACATTGTTCAATAGATCACCACCGAACCGTGCGCAGGCAGAGGCGGCGAGTTGATTATGTAGGTACCTTACTGCTGTCTGTTTTGGTTTGCTTGGGTTCGTCGCTTGTGCACAAAGGAAGGCGGTTCGATGGACCTAATCCATTTCCTGATATCTTAAAAGCCTCAATTTCTGTATTGAATTGTGGCTACAATGAATTTTAAGATGAATTAAAAATTCGATGACGTGATCCAGTGCACTTTCGATGCAATGACGGGCTATGATTGGAGGCAAGATGAAGAATTGAAGTCTCTTGAGTTATTACGTGCATAGCTGTAGTACGGTTAATGTGCTAATGAATGGATTGATGGCATGAATAAATTTAATTATTCAAAGAAAGTTGAAACTTCCCATTGCATGATTTTTGTATAGCAAGTACAATGATACTCTATTACAAGGTTTCTCAATCTATGGGCAGAAATTCAGGCAATTTGATCATAAATTATGATAATTCAAATTGAGCTGCCTATTGGTTTTTATTTCTTTGGAAAGTCAACTCGGCTGGGCCTTAAACGTAGTGGTGGAAATAAGGGAATCATCACTCAAAAATAACCCCCTCTTTATTCGATTTTGAGTTAGCCTCATCTGCCGTGTAGGACATTTTGACTTATGATAGGATTGTTATCATCATGTTGACCATTCCAGATAATTGTGTGTTGTCGTTTTCAAGATTATCATAAGAGTTGTCAGGCTGTTTTAATAGTTGTAAGGTCATTTTAGCGTTTTAATGCTATCCAGACCATTTTATTGAATTTTTATTATATTATATTATTATATTACTTAGCGATTACATATGTGGCCATTAAGTTAAACGCTCACTTGTTCCTTGTTGGGATGTGGGCAGCAATCTCTGTGTATGTAGACAAGGTTACCATGATGCAGATCACATTATTTGGTCTTGTGCTGGGCATCGTGGAGTCAGATCTGAGCTATACGATTCCCTTCGGGCTCGAGGTAGACAACCTAATGTTCCAGTTTGGGATATTTTGCTAGACACGATCTGAAGTTTAAAGAACTCGTATATGTTTTCTTGAAGAATATTAACCTTAGGTTGTAGTTTGATTAACTTTATGTTTGGTTTGTATTTTGTGTGTGTGGGTTTTTTTTTATGTTTGCTTTTGTAAGAATTGTTTAACTGCTTGTATCAGGTTGAATAGGAATAAGTTTATATTTTGAGAATAGTGTATCGTAATTCATATTTCAAATCTCGTACTCTCTCTCCCCATCCATACAATTGTAAATCTCCACTAACCTCGAAACGACCGTGACTAATCGGTCCAATTCCTTTAACTCTAGATTTAAGACATCAAATATGTATAAAACTAATAATAGCTTGGCTCAGTAAAGTTTATTCGATTGAGCCTGTACAAATAAATAAAATAAAATAAATAAAGGTATATATGTGACAAATTTTAGTGTATTGAAGTTTTGAAGGTTATTTTGGCGTTTTAAATAGTATTTTGAGGGTTTTCCGGAGCCATTTCAGCGTTTTGAGAACATTTTGATTTTTTATGGTTATTTTGCCGATAAAGTTTGGCCCGGAGTTTAATGATTTCATCGTTTTTTCGTTTTGTAATTTTTTTGTTTTGATACTACTCATGCGTTTCGATGATTCATTGAGGGTAAACAAAAACACTTCAAAATGGTGGGCCGCATCACAGACTTATATCGATAGCAAACGTAGCTTATTCGAATCTTAATTCTTTTGTCTGTAAAATTCTCGAACTTTCTGTAGGATACCCGCCATTAGGTTCCATACAGTATCCTCAGATACCTTAATGGCGACGTGCCTTCATCTACTTTTGAAATCATTGATGCCATTAGCTTTCCTCTTTGTTTCGAATAGTATCCGCTTAACCAGAGCAAGTACTTTTCTATTAGGCGAAGTTCTGGACAGTTTGGCGGATTGGCTGTTTTTAAGTGAAACTTTTCAGGGATTCGTGAAATATTTCAAACCTGTACACTAAAAGAAAAGTGTCCGAAATTTTACGCTGACAGGCTTTAGACGTATATAATTTGGGAAATGGATCAAAGATGAGACCGATCGGCTGGTAGTAGGGATCACCCTTTTGAAATGTTATTGTCTATGTTTGTCAAGACTCTATTGCGGTAGCCTCACAGTCACGAGGCCGATATTCACTGCAAAAAAAATCAACACTATACACCAATATCGAGTCATGAGACTGGATTGATCGATTTGTCGATTGGAAGCATCCTTTTGAATTGAAAAGCAAAATCATTTAGCGGAAAAGGTACGATAATGCTTTCCACATAATGTACTACCGTCACCGGTAACTCCAATTCCAAAATAAAGCCCAATTGCGTGTCTAATACTGGCACTGCCCTCAACTCCCTTCTCTCTAGCAGTTCTGTAGCACGTTTCATGTTGAATTACCCGAGTGCTATTAAATTGATTACACTCATATTATGGTAAAATGGATTTTTTCACAATTAATTTCTTTGGTGCATGGTCATACGGTGACGCTTTATGTACACTGAGTTCAAGAGCTTTTTTTATCCAGTACTGTGTAGTGCCTATACCTGTAATTCCTGCATGAATAATGGGACGACCTAACAGACCGCCCACGTTTTGACATTTTACCGTGACTCGTGCTTCTGCTGCTACCTTCTAGTGGGATATAATAGAATGATTTTCTGAGTGTTCCTTCATGAAGAAAATCGGAGCAAGGCAAGGCTTTACTTTGAAAAACAATTTGAACTCAGGCACTAGGTACTGTGAAAGGATTTACGCGTCACGCGGTAGAAAAAGACTCGAAGAAAGCAGCATACCGACTTCTCGGCATTGTGTTTGGGTCTTATCGGAGGCTTTTAATCACCATTTTTAATTAGTTTCTCGTGCTGAGGTTATTTGCATGAAAGTATAGTGAAAAAACAGAACGGAAACAATAACAACATGTGCCGAAGCTCCCATTCTGGAAAATGGGTACGCCCCGGTACGTGTTCACGAAGTGGAGCCCCCGTATGCTTCATTATACGTGGTCTATTATGCTAATATCATTTTGATTACAGGCGAAAATCACTTGCCTGACAGAGTACAAGGCACACGTTAGACCAACCGCTATATACCGGTTGAAATCAACATGGGCCCTGAAATCTGGTAATAAATCAGCACTGGTTTATTTCCTCTGAGGGCGCATGAGGTAAGGTACACCGGGGCAAGTGGGAACGGTGGATATATCTTATTTTAATGGAAATTTTTAGGGTCTAAGTTATAGTAACAAAGCCTACATTGGATATAACAAATTAGTTATTGTTTTCATCCCTATCATTCCCGGTCATTTTTGTCAACATATCTCCTTTAACTAGCAAAGAAAGTTAGACTTATACATCTTTATATGTACATCATTTTGTAAACATTTACTTGAAAAAGACCTGTTTTGTTGGCAGTAGGTGATCATCATAAGTATATTGAAGAAATTTTCACGATGAAAATTAAATGTTTTAGATAGTTTGCATCGATAGTACACAAGTCCCAAAAGCCAGGATATTTTGCAGCACCCGGTACAAAGTGTTTGAAACCAATATTATCTCTTTTTTTCGATCCTGACCACTTGCAGTCATTTCTGTTCAGAAAACATCACATTTCAATCTAATATAAATGTGACGATCACTAGGGTGCTTCATTGAAAAAAAGTGATACATTTCTGGTAGGCCACCATCCAGTTCGTATTATTGCCCAAAAATATGAACCTGTGCAAAAATTGGTAAAGATTGATGAAGGTTTTGAGGTCACAAAATGGTTTCAAATGCGTATGGGAATTATTATGAAAGAATTTCAAAAATCACTTATATCGCTCAAACTTTGCTTCTACATGTCAAAATTTTGAGAAAAAAATAATATGTTGCTGCTTAAAGTCTTCCCGCATAAACAATAACCATAAGAAGCGCCTAACCACTAATTCGGGATATCATCCCAACTTTATGTGGTATGGTCGTACCATCTATTTGTATTTGTATTTAAAATAATTCATCTGACAATTTAGTCTTAATGAATATATTAGAGCTAATTTAACACAGACCTAATC